GCGCTGTTCCTCTTCCTGGAATGCTTGGCCCTTGCCATCCCCCAGTCCTGGCTGAATAGGCATCTCTACAGGGAGCCCTTCTCCCTGTCACTTCCCCTGGAGTTTCCCTGCACAGTGCCCCAGTGCTGGCTGCGTGTCTGATGTCGGCTCCCACCCAGGCCTGTGGACTGGCCCTCGTCTTCTTGCTCACCACCGTGCACCTGGTGCCTGGGCACTGCTGACTGAGCAGCCTTATAGGTGCGGGGTCCTGCCAGGTCTTTCCCACACACCACCCTGAGCTCTGGCAGGTGCTCAGCTGAGCCCATGACAGTGGTGCTGGGGAGGAACTGGAGACAGAGAGGCCAAGAGACGCGCCCAGGACCACACAGGAGGGGAGCAACGGCGCGGGACTTGCACCGGGGGTCTCATTTTGGAGCCCCCCCTGCCCTGTTTTCTGGGCGGAACCCCTCATGTCCTTGGCCTGCCTCTGTGTCTGCTTTGGCAGGTGTGATGTGTCACCTGCTGTTCCACATCTGGGCTGGAAAGGGTGTGGGCACCGGGCGGCTGGCACGCCAGGCACCGCTCTGTTTGCCTTTGGCAGTTGAGTGAGACGGCTTTCAGCCAGGGCCATTTCTCACTTAGGAAACTGAGAATTTTAGCGTGACTTTGCAAACCTTGATGTACTTCTCCACAGGGGTCATTTGCCGGATGTGGAAACGCTCCGGAAGCTGGATTTTGGGCTTTGGGGTGCGGGATTCTTCTTCACCCTTGATTAACTGAAAGATAATCCAGAGATGGAGGCCTCAGGCTAAGGCTCCCCACGTTCCCCCCCAGAAATCACACTTGACAGATGACAGACGTGGGCTCGGGATATTGGGTGGAGCCAGTCCCAGTCACACAGCCCGAGCAGCGTGTGGGGACGGCGCACACGCCACCTCGAGGACTGCTCCCCTCCTCCTGATCGAAGCCTGCTAGCTCAGGTCCTGTGCGGTGACTGGAGCAACCCTCACGGGCTCTGGACTCAAAGGAAAAGAATGCCAACGTCTCGAGACCAACCTTCCAAACCGTCTAGGAGAGCCCCCTCCCCCCTGAATAGTTAAAGCAATTTTGAACTCTGAGAACCCAATTTAATTACATATAAGGACTATTAACACAGACTGATTTTATGCATATTATAATAATAAGGCCTCATTTATGCATAAAATTTCAAATTGTATAACTCTAAGAATTTAAAAAAACTCATTAAGAGTGGCATAATTTCAAAGCCAGTGTGGGGGGTGCTGTAGATGGTTCCCACTGTCTTGAATCACAGTGTTTGAGTGATGTGGCTCTTGGGTGCTGTGTCCCTCCCAAGAAGGGTGGCTTCGTGGTTTGGGCCAGAGGTCCTCTGAGAAGTGGCAAGCTGGCCAGCGCCCAGGGAAGCCCATGTGAGCCTTTTGTGTGTCTACATGGTGTTTTTGTAAGTCACGTGCCCTGGACGCAGATACTTGAACAAGGAATGTCTTGAATAAGCGGATGTGTGCCTGGCCTGCGTGGAAGCCCTCGCTGGGCTGGCGGTGGCTGCCTCTTTGCCAGCGTCCCCACCGCTTCCTATTAATGGTGTTTGGCCTCTTCTCCTGCTTGTCACTTGCTAGGCTTGTAGTGCCCCTCACAATCACCCACTTCACAGATAGGAAGGGTGAGGTCAGACGGCTGTGGAGCTAGACCCACCAGTTTCTCTTGTTGGCATGTCCATTATTAGTCGTGGGACTTTGCAGTCCTTTGAGACCAATTCCTGATCTGTTCAGAGGACATAAAGTGGTAGCTCTTTCTGCACAGGGCCCTGGTGCAGATTAAACAAGCTGGTTCTGCTGAAGTACTCAGCATGTGCCTGGCACATAGTAGGCGCTCAGTCACTGGTGAAGGCAAGGAGATGTCTGCTTTCAAGCTTAATAATCTTTGCCTACCACACACTCTTTAATCCTATTCTTGCACTTGCTAACCACTCAGTCTCCAAAATGATGGACTCTGTGATGTCAAGGTTTATGCTTACCTCCTCCACAGGGGTTGTTAAAAATCCCCAGTTCTGGGGCCAGTTTTTCCGTGCCTCGGATTCAGCCTTCAGACGGTATTTCCTGAAAAAGAGAGTTCCTGGGTGCTGGGCAATATTTGATAAAGGTTCCAGCCACAGACTGCAGAAGAGCATAAACTTCCCATTTTTTATGCGCACTGAATGGGTGGTGGTTATGCTGGGGATGGAGCTGGGAGCCAGAGAGCCCAGGCCCCAGGGCTGAGCAGGCTGAAGGAAATGAGTCCCTGGGGCTGCTGCATGGGGGAGTTGGCAGTGCCAGACAAGGACAGGGCCACTCCATGAGAGGGGACTGAATAGCCCCTGGCCCTGGTGCCCCACAGTCATGGGTATACATTAAGTAATTCTGTAAGTACCCTGTTCCTCCAGGCAAGGACTGGCATGAGGGGGCAGGATTTAAGAAGGGGCTCTGTCCTGCCTGACTTGATGCCCAGCCCCTTCTTAAATATCACACCCCAGGGGCCTCACTCACTAGGTAACCCAGCCTGCTTTCCTGCCATGTTGAATATGATTTCTACATAACTACCTGTGAGCTGAGCTGAGTGCAGTTGGCAAGCTGGTGTGTCACATTTTGCAGATACCCAATTAAACATTACTTGTTTCGATTTTTAGTTCCTTCTGTTTTGGAATCAATATCTGCACCTCTCTCCCATCTCAAGGTTTTTGGAGGCCCTGACCAAGCTCTTGGCCCTGAGCATCTAAGGCAGAGTCTGTTTCTAACAGAGATCTAACAGGGGCCAAAAATATGAGTTGCATATGTAATTGGTAAATTTTCGTGTAGCCATATTGAAAAGAAAGCAACAATCACCAAGTGATGTTAATTTAAATAATACGGTTTTTGCATGAATCTTTGAAATCTGTCGTGTATTTTACACTTATAGCTAATTCCAATTTGGACCAGTTACATTCCAAGTGATTAATAGCCGTGTTGGACTTGGACAGCACAGTCCAAGCTTTTAATAAGGCCCGGTTCACAGAGGAGGGGCCATCTGATTTGGGCACTGAACCATGAGTAGGAGGAGTTTGTCTGGTGAAGGAAGGAAAGGGCATTCCAGGCAGAGGGACAGGCCCTGCTACGGGGCTAGTCCCTGCTGGGGATACGTGAATGAATACAAAGATTTTTTTTTAAAATTAATGTTGTGATAGGGATCACCATGCTGGTTTTCCACATGTGAAAGTGATATAAAGTTTTCAATAATTTTTTTTTCAGTGAAACAGCCAAATTAAACACAAATATGGAGTGACTTATGCAGGTGTCTCAGGAAAAGGATGACAACACAGAGCTGGGGTATAGGCAGCTGAAGTTGAAGGGTGAGCAAGCTTGAGCTGACCCTGAAACTCCCTTCATTCAAATCAGCAGCTGCCCCTATGGACTGCTTTGAAAGAGATGGAGTGACAGTGGCAGTCCTCCGGAATGCCAAGGGAGGCCCACTGCAGGGTCTCCTGGCATCCATCGTAGGGAAAAATGGATCTAGTTTTTAAATTAAAATTTCTTATTACTTAAAACTACAGGAAAATTGAGAAATAAAGTGCTTACGTATTCTCCTTCTAATTGAACAATTATTAACAGTTTTGTTTCTTTTTAAAAAAATCGGTGAATCTTAAAAATCACACTTCCTAACTGGCCCGAACAGGCTGACCTGTGCGATTGTTCCAAAATCTTTCCCACCTTCAGGGTGGGCGGGCAGGAGTTGGGGGGGAACCCTGTGGTGGCCCTCTGTCCCTATATTGTCCCCTTTCCTCAGGGTGCTCCACTGTCCTCTGAGCACTCTCCTGGCGCCCAGAGGTCCACCATCTCTGGACTTGGTGGGAACCGAAGCTGCCAGGTGAGGACCGCCCATCTCGGGGTAGAGGACCCTGCCCTTACCAGATCTCGTCCTGGGCCACCAGGTTCATGCGCTCGGCGCCCGCGGTGCCAAGCTGTCTCTGAGCCATGAGCCCGGGGTTTCCGTGCACGAGCGTGCACGCTCAGGACCTAGGCTCCGCGTCTTGCGTCTCCTGTCGCTAGGGAGACCGGTTGCCAGGCAACGCAGGACGCAGGCAGAGGCGGTGCGCACCTAGAGTGGGTGGGGCGCTGGGCGCTTGTTGAGAGCCTCTGCTTTGTGCTAGCGTCGGAGCCCTGGGTGCACCAGCCTGCCCACGTGCTGCTCCGAGGGACACCTCTAGGCCTGACACCTCTCCTGGTTTAAATCCCTTCCTGCAATGGAGCCGCAGTTACAGTCCCCACCAGGGCCTTGTCCACCACCCTGCAGAGCGGCTCCATGTGATCTCCATGTGATCTTCCTGTAGGTGGAGTCATCCCGAGGCCCACTCTGTGCTGGCCTCGATTGCCCAGTGTTACTTTGCCCGGTGTCCACCCGCCCTGTGGCCAGTAGCCCTCTGTTCATTTCTACCCCTGAACAGTGTTCCATTCTGGGGCTCTCGGACACAGCATGTGGGTCTTTGCACTCTGTGAAAGGCCTGCTCTGAACATCACTGCAAGTGTCTTTTGGAGAATGTATGGATGCACCATATGCTCTAAGACGATCCCGAAATGAAGTCGATTCCCAGTTGCTATCACCCCAGACCCAGCACCTGCACTGCCTTCCTCGGTGCTCATCAGCGCTGGTCATGTTTGTTGACTGGCTCACCAACAGGGTTTGGAGGCCACTCAGCTGGGGCTGCCCTCTCCTGATGAGCCCACACTAGGCAGTGGGTGCTCTTCTTGGTGTTGAAATGCCTGGCCAAGGTCCCAGGTTGGGACATCCCTACTGCCCACCCGGACAGATTAGCGATGGGCCAGGTGGGGACTGGAAGTGTCTGAATCGAACTCAATCCATTAACGGCTCAGTCTTGTGGCCGAGCTGCTAGGGAGGCCACGAGCTGGCCGGCTGTGCGGGTGGACAGGTCTTCAGGTGGACGGGGCATTCTTGTCTTTTCTCCAAGGTAGATGTTCTGGGAAGAGTTAAGTGGGTGGCTGGGAAGAGACCCTCCTGTCGGGTGAGGGGGAATTCTGCTCCCCCTTGGGAAGCTCCTAGCCCAGTTCTGTTCCAACGATTAAGTGAGGATAGACGCCGGGCTGGCTGAGTGTCTGTCTGCGCCTGACACCAAGGTCATGCTACGTGTGCAGCAGCCCACGTGTCTGATGCCAGCTGAGCTCTGGGGACACTGGAGGGAGCTGCAGCGACAAGGAGTTGCCATGCCAATGTCCACTGTCCTCAGAAACTGAGGTGGATGGATAATGCAGCACGTGGGCACCCACATGAGACATCATGCCAGGGGGAGAGACATGCTCTGGATAAGGTCAAATCAGGGTATGGTGCCATAGTGACAGGGACAGGAGAGGGCTGTGGAGGGACTCTTAGAAAGAGTGGTCAGGGGAGGCCTTTCTGAGGAGAGGACATCTGAGTACAGATCTGGTGAGGGAGGGGCTCTGAAAAGGGATGGAAAAGTTGTCTGTGGGGCAGTGCAAATGTCCTGGGGAAGAGGCAATGTCAGGGGGTTTGAAGAACCCTGGAAATGAAACAGGGAGAGTTTCCTGGAAATGGAACAGGCCAATCCCCTGACTTCTGGAAGTCAGTCTAGCAAGATGAGTGTAGCCCCGTATGTGAGATGACAGGTGTATGTATGTGATTCAGGGTGAACAGAAAAGTGCACAGGAAGTGATGAGTGGGCTGGGTGTTGAAGGATGCATGAGAGTTCACTGATGTCCACCCTCCTCAGAAATATCTGCACAGGGGAGTGCGTCCAGAACTAGACTACTGTGGTCAAGTGGACAGGTTTGAGGAGGTGACGTGGGCTCAGCTCTCTGCTCTGCCTCTTCCTAGTGACCGTGGGCAAGTTGCCTACCCTCTCTGAGCCCTAGTTTCCCCATCTGTGGAGGACCCCCTTCTCTCTGTGAAACAAGAAATTCATGGGTCTCTGGAAAACCATTTCTGCACCTCATACTTTTTAATTTTCTTGACAAAATTGCCCTTCAGCAGAGATTTCAAGTGGGAAGAGCGGAGAGCCTGGGGGGACGGCCACCCTGCTGACTGCGTTTGGGGAACGGAGGCAATATTTACAGCCCGCACGAGGTTCGCTGTGTTCCTGTGTATTAATATTTTTTGGCCTTCTCTCAGTTCTTGGGGACAGTTTATTTTTTATTTTTTTTTTCATTTTGCTGTTGCTTTATAAAACATTTTGACAGCGGACGCCAACTGCTTCTTTTTTAGTTTTTAAGCTTAAACAGTTTTCTTTTTTATTGGATGATTTTTTTTTTTCTGTAACTGAAGCCTGCTTTGTGGGTGCTTGGTTTCTGCCAGCAGGGCCCCCGTTGTCACAGCACAGGTGACGCTCAGGTGCCCCAGGGCAGAGGCCAAAGCCTCGTTCTCAGAGAGTCAGGGCAGGGGTGCATCTGACGGCCTGGCGGGGCCTGCGGACCCCGAGTTCTGTCTTTGCGCGCCCATCATGTGCCTTCGCCTGGCCCAGGCCTCTGCTCTTGCCTGCAGGCGGTCCACACACCCCCAGCGGCGGCTGGCATCATCCAGAGCTTGGGGAGGAGGAAGGAGCCGCCCCCCCACATTGCCCTGGAGACCACCCTCACAGGCCCTCTCCGTTTGGCCCACTGACCAGTTACTGCTCCAGTTAGGGCCCCAGCAGGCTGAGGCCCTTAAGCTGCCCTTGGCCTCCCTAGCCTCCCCTCCCAGCGCCCAGCATGTGAGCAAAGCCCAGCCCCAGGCCCACCGCGAGGGGCAGGGAAAGCAAGCAGAAGCCAGGGAGACCCAGTTTTGACCAAACTGTGCCAGCCGTGGCCATCTAAGGTGGGAAGTGCCCAGAGGCTGGGGCAGCGCCTGGGCTGCCCTCCAGCTTCCCAGTGGACACACATTCCCCCACCTCCAATCCCACCTGGTGGAAAGTGTGCTGTGTCCTGAAGGTGACAGACACAAGCACCAGCTGAGCTCCAGGGTCTAGGTGCCTAATTCCTGTTGTTCCCTCACTTTCTTTAGCTGGGCTGCCGACTGGGGGGCTTGAGGTCCCCTGGATGGGGGAGACTGCCCACAGAGGGTCAGAGAACATTGTGAAGGGAAACTGGAACAGTGGGTAGAAGGGGCCGGAGGGAGATGGTTCCATAAAACGACAGCCCCCGTTCATCACTCCCGGGGACCTGGCTAACTCCTCCCGACACCTGAGACTAGAGGACAGGACAGCTGTGCCCAGCTGTTCTCTCCATTATTCAGTGGTGTTTATCAAGTCTCTCAAACGCCCTGGGCCTTGAGCCAGGTCCTGGAACCTAGCAGGGAGCAGGCAGACTTAGTTCAACCCTCAGGAGGCTCCCTGCACCAGAGGAGTTCCAGATATTGTTATAAAAACGTACATGGTGATGTGGAGTCAGGAGGGCTCTTGGTGGTTGGTCAGGGCTCCCCAGAAACAGCAGAGGAATTGGGCCTGTAGGCCTTGGGGTGCAATGAGCCCATTTTCCATTGCTATAAGGTGACACCTGAGGCTAGGTAATCTGTAAAGAAAAGAGGCTGATTGGGCTCAGTCCTGGAAGTTCAAGAGCACACTGCTGGCCTCTGCTCAGCTCCACTGAGGGCTTCATGGCGGATGACATCAATGGCAGGAGCATAGGCAGAAGAGATCACGTGGTGAGACAGGAAGCCAAGGAGGGGGAGAGGCCAGGCTTGCCTTTTGATTTTTTTGGCACCAGAGATTGAACCCAGGAGCACTTGGCCAATGAGCCTCATCCCCAGCCCTATTTTATATTTTATTTAGGGACAAGGTCTCACTGAGCTGCTTAGCACCTTGCCTTTGCTGAGGCTGACTTTGAACTCGAGATCCTCCTGCCTCAGCCTCCCGAGCTCCTGGGATCACAGGTGTGAGCCACTGCGCCCGGCTCAGTCTTGCCTTTTATAACGACCCTCTCTTTGGAGAACTCGCCTGAGTTTCCTTCCGAGGGCCATGAGCCCAGTGTCCTGGCCTCCTCCCCACAGGCCCCACCTCCTAAGGTTCCACTTGCTCCACCATCATACCTGGGACAAAGCTTCTGAGGCATGACGTGCGGGGGACAGACCACGCCTAGACCACGGAGGGGGTGGGAGGAGTTGGCCTTCCCATCAACAGTGCGTCTGACAGCTGGGTCTGGTCCCTCGTGCAGCTTCCTCACCTGGGGCACATTTCAGGACTCCCTACGTCCCCGCTGCCCCCAGACGAAGCTCTGTGACCTCCTCATTGCAGGAGTGTCGAGGAGGTCAGGGCTGAGGTGAGGCCTGGGGAGACAGAGGAGGAAGGTGTCTGTTCCTGGCGCTGTCCTTCCTGAGCTTCCTGTGACCTCATGCAGGAGATCCTCTGCCGCCTGGCATGCGAGGGATCCCCATCGCTCGGAACAAAGGGGATCTGGACCATTGGCTCTCGAATCTCTTCCCTCTGCTGCCCCGGGGAAGGCGCTGTGGCCAGCTTCCTGACATTTCTGCCTTAATTTGCCTGGTCCAGGTCCCCGTGGGCTCAGCTGCTTCAGGGGCTGGGCCAGGGCCGCCTCTGCTCACCTGCAAACATCCACCGTTGCTGCTTTAGCCTGGGCCTGGGCGGGTCCTGAGGATGCCCCTTGGGTGGGGCACGCCCATGGCCCTCGGGGCGGGAGAAGTGTCAGCTTCTGGTACATCGGGAAGCCACCCCAGGGGCCACAGAGAGCATGACCAGGACTCTGGGGATGACCTCTTGGCTGCCCCTGAGTCCAGGGAGCACTTGGGGGGCCTCGTGGCTGTGCCTTTCAAGAGCTTCGTTTTCCTTACTGTGGTGGGAGTGTTAGGTTCTCAATCAATAACAGCCATGATGGTAGAAACAACAACTGGAATTTGTCAGGCACCGAGGCCACGAGTACCTCCCCAGCACCACTGCATTTCAGCCTCTCAGTGGCCTTGCAGAGGCAGATGCAGAATCAGAGAAGTTAGGTCACCTGCCCATGGTCACACAGCTAG